TTTACTAAAAAGATAACGGAATACATTTTGGCCAAGATTTATGATGAAATATTATTTATTTGCAAAATTTTATAAGACAAACACTTTTTTACAAAATTTTTGGACATTTTCATTTACACAGCAAAAAAAATAAAAATCCGGGCGGTGAATAAATACCATCAAAATAAAGTTTTATCCGTCTCAAAAAAATGGTAAAAAATTCATATGGGTACAGTGTTGCATGACCGCGCAATCGTCATTAAAAGTGTGATAGCGCTGAAAGCTGAAAATTGGCCTGGGCAGGAGGGGGGTAAAAGTGTCCGGACTGGAAGTGGTTAATACAGTTCCTCAGGTTGTGGTGACTCCCAACCATAAAATGATTTTAGTTGTTACTTCACAACTGTAATTTTGCTACTATTATGAATCGTAATGTAAATATCTGATATGCAGGATGTATTCTCCTTGTTACAAATTTAACATTTTTTTTTTGCAGTAGTTGATGATTTTACAATTACCCAGTAATTATAATTCATGAAACGTCATATTACCTCCAATACTGCTGCTTTCAGCACAGTAGCTGCTTTCAACACAGTAGCTGCTTTCAGCACAGTAGCTGCTTTCAGCACAGTAGCTGCTTTCAACACAGTAGCTGCTTTCAACACAGTAGCTGCTTTCAACACAGCAGCTGCTTTTACACAGCAGCTGCTTTCTACACAGTAGCTGCTCTTTACACATGTGACTGGTCCACATAAGTACATTATGGTGCCAACCCTGTCATACACCTGTATTTGTACGGGGTGTATGTGATGAGGTTGGCGCGATGATGTCATCACGCCGGGTACACGTATGTGGGCGTAACTGCATGTGGGCGGACCCGTCTGCAGACGGATAGAAGAGCGGTGTCTCGGTTCCTAAAACCATAGGAAATACGTGTTTTCCGATGGTCTTAGGCGACCCCTGTGGAAGGGTCGTTCGACCCCCAAAGGGGTCATGACCCACAGGTTGAAAACCGCTGCACTAGAAGCTGAAAATCACTGTAGAGACACTGCTACGAGCTTCCACTAGTTGTCCAAAGCTTCAAAAACATGGGATCTGTCCGCTGCTCCCCTGCTGTGCTGAGCTGAGCGGAGCGGGTATGGATGACAGGTCCATTTGTGCTCTGCTTATGCAGAGCAGACATGGACACAGCCTGTTCTGCTCTATAGGTAGTTGGATGTAAACAGACTTGTGTCCGTTTACAGCTGACTGACCTCCAATCTGATCCTGCCAGATGTAGGGGAACAATTCCCCTTTCTTTTGCCAAATCGGATTGAAGGTAGCTGGGTGTAAACAGACACAGTCCATTTACATCCATAGAGGAAAATCGAGGGTCCAATCGTATCTGCCTGAAAAACTGACAGGTGGACCCAATAGGACCGCTCGTGTGAAAGGAGCCTGATATGACACATACAGTCAGGTCCATAAATATTGGGACATCGACACAATTCTAAACTTTTTGGCTCTATACACCACCACAATGTATTTGAAATGAAACAAATAAGATGTGCTTTAACTGCAGACTGTCAGCTTTAATTTAAGGGTATTTACATCCAAATCAGGTGAACGGTGTAGGAATTACAACAGTTTGCATATGTGCCTCCCACTTGTTAAGAGACCAAAAGTAATGGGACAGAATAATAATCATAAATCAAACTTTCACTTTTTAATACTTGGTTGCAAATCCTTTGCAGTCAATTACAGCCTGAAGTCTGGAACACATAGACATCACCAGACGTTGGGATTTCATCCCTAGTGATGCTCTGCCAGGCCTCTACTGCAACTGTCTTCAGTTCCTGCTTGTTCTTGGGGCATTTTCCCTTCAGTTTTGTCTTCAGCAAGTGAAATGCTCTCAATAGGATTCAGGTCAGGTGATTGACTTGGCCATTGCATAACATTCTACTTCTTTCCCTTAAAAAACTCTTTGGTTGCTTTTGCAGTATGCTTTGGGTCATTGTCCATCTGCACTGTGAAGCGTCCAATGAGTTCTGAAGCATTTGGCTGAATATGAGCAGATAATATTCCTGAAACACTTCAGAATTCATCCTGTTGCTTTTGTCAGCAGTCACATCATCAATAAATACAAGAGAAGCAGTTCCATTGGCAGCCATACATGCCCACGCCATGACACTACCACCACCATGCTTCACTGATGAGGTGGTATGCTTAGGATCATGAGCAGTTCCTTTCCTTCTCCATACTCTTCTCTTCCCATCACTCTGGTACAAGTTGATGTTGGTCTCATCTGTCCATAGGATGTTGTTCCAGAACTGTGAAGGCTTTTTTGGATGTCATTTGGCAAACTCTAATCTGGCCTTCCTGTTTTTGAGGCTCACCAATGGTTTCCATCTTGTGGTGAACCCTCTGTATTCACTCTGGTGAAGTCTTCTCTTGATTGGTGACTTTGACACACATACACCTACCTCCTGGAGAGTGTTCTTGATCTGGCCAACTGTTGTGAACGGTGTTTTCTTCACCAGGGAAAGAATTATTCGGTCATCCACCACAGTTGTTTTCCGTGGTCTTCCAGGTCTTTTGGTGTTGCTGAACTCTCCGGTGCGTTCCTTCTTTTTAAGAATGTTCCAAACAGTTGTTTTGGCCACGCCTAATGTTTTTGCTATCTCTCTGATGGGTTTTTTTTTGTTTTTTCAGCCTAATGATGGCTTGCTTCATTGATAGTGACGGCTCTTTGGATCTCATCTTGAGAGTTGACAGCAACAGATTCCAAATGCAAAATAGCACACTTGAAATGAACTCTGGACCTTTTATCTGCTCATTGTAATTGGGATAATGAGGGAATAACACACACCTGGCCATGGAACAGCTGAGAAGCCAATTGTCCCATTACTTTTGGTCCCTTAACAAGTGGGAGGCACATATGCAAACTGTTGTAATTCCTACACCGTTCACCTGATTTGGATAAAAATACCCTCAAATTAAAGCTGACAGTCTGCAGTTAAAGCACATCTTGTTCGTTTCATTTCAGATCCATTGTGGTGGTGTATATAGCCACAAATGTTAGAATTGTGTCGATGTCCCAATATTTATGGACCTGACTGTATATCCTTCCATGGTATAGCGAGGGTTATTGCATCAATTAGGGGAGGGGATTTGCATTGTCAGTTGTTAGAATGTAAGCTGTGGTGGATTTTTTTTTGTCTCCATGCTAGATTGCCTCACAGGCTTAAAGCAGAACTTCACTCTCTCAATCGACATTTAATATTGCTAATCCTTATACTGCTAGCATTAGTAAACAGTCATTTCTGTTTTTACATTTCTTCAGTTACTTCCTGATTTCTAGCCTAGGCTGTCTCAGCTAAGCCTACCCTCCTGCCTGCCTGAGCTAAGGGCAGATGGATTCCAGGAAATAAATGCTACATGAATCATCTGCCCTTACTCAAAATGGTCATGGCCGAAAATGCTAGGGGGGGTGTTTTTTTTTAAAGTGATCTCTTAGCAAAACAAAGCATGGAGACATGGATGGATGGTGCAGTTTACTTTGAATATAAAAATTAAATAAAAAGTGTTTTGGGTTTGTGGTGCTCAGATACAATGTAGATGTGCTTTACCCTCGTTGAAATATAAATCTCGACTTAAAATAACCCTTTTCACTTTTCTAGCTCATCTTGCTGTACTGTACGGATCTGGCTTTTTTTAAATTCTTATTCCTCGTGCACACGGGACGTTTTGATAACACTGGTAACATTAGCTGAGTAAGTCACATTAAAAATGGGAGTTTTCTCCAGCTTTTTTTAGCGTTTTTGCATTGGCGTCTAGCGGTGTTTTTCCGCGTTTGCGTTTTTTAGCGTTTTTTTCAATTAAAAAAAAAAAACCTTTTTGGGTCAAAAAAAGGTCCAAAAAACGCCGGTTTGCAGCGTTTTTTCATCGCTATAGCAATTTTACAGTTAACTCCGAATGCACACAGAATGTTTTAATAACGCCGGTAACGTTAGCTGGGTAAAGTCACGTTAAAAATGTGAGTTTTTCAGATTTTTATTTAGCATTTAACGGCATTTTGCCGCGCTTGCATTTTTTTAGCGTTTTTTTTTTTTTAGGGGGGGGGTCAAAAAAAGGTCCAAAACCGCCAGTTTGCGGCATTTTTTCAGCGTTAGAGCGTTTTTCCAGTTAACTCTGAATGTACACAGGGACGTTTTAATAACGCTGGTAATGTTAGCTGTGTAAAGTCACGTTAAAAACCTGAGTTTTTCCCACTAGAACAATTGCTCAGGCCTGGAAGAGCCCGTTTGTCCCTCTTCAGGGGGTGCGGAATCGTATGACCACTATGATGCTCAATGAACAGATTTCAAGTATCTGTAACGACTCCCAACGTAAATTTTTGGAAATACAGGAGCCGTGGTTGCAATATGCCTTTCCCACGCTCCCCCGGCTAGTCTGGTGATGTGATGGTGTTCGGTATTGGCGTTCTTGGACCCCTGCTCTTTGGTTTTGTTATATTTTTTTTTTCTTTCCTTTGTACTCCTTTCTTTTCTTTTTCTATTTGTTTTTTGGTGTGGCAGTGATAGCTGCTTTTACAGTAGATTGAGTTACAGTCAGAGTTATACTAATGTTTTTTTAATTTATGTGCAACTGATAGCCCCTGCCCCGTGTGGGGCGTGTTTTGTTGCCTCTGTTTTTATACTGTTTAAAATTAATAAAAACATTGAAATATAAAAAAAAAACCTGAGTTTTTCAGCCTTTTTTTTAGCGTTTTTGCATTAGCGTTTAGCCGCGTTTGTGGTTTTTTAGCATTTTTGGACACATTTACCAGAAAAAGTCCAAAAACACAGGTTTGCTGCGTTTTACCAATTCCACGATTTTTTCAGCATTAGAGCGTTTTTACAGCTAAAACAAAACTCCAAAAAACCTTGATTCCAGTCTATGTGTGTATGGACACATAGGATAACATGCCGGGGATGGACACATAGGATAACATGCCGGGGATGGACACATAGGATAACATTGCCGGGGATGGACACATAGGATAACATGCCGGGGATGGACACATAGGAGAACATTGCCGGGGATGGACACACATAGGAGAACATGCCGGGGATGGACACATAGGAGAACATGCCGGGGATGGACACATAGGAGAACATGCCGGGATGGACCATAGGAGAACATGCCGGGGATGGACACATAGGAGAACATGCCGGGGATGGACACATAGGAGAACATGCCGGGGATGGACACATGGACACATAGGATAACATGAGAACATGCCGGGGATGGACACATAGGAGAACATGCCGGGGGATGGACACATAGGAGAACATGCCGGGGATGGACACATAGGAGAACATGCCGGGGATGGGACACATAGGAGAACATGCCGGGGATGGACACATAGGAGAACATGCCGGGGATGGACACATAGGAGAACATGCCGGGGATGGACACATAGGAGAACATGCCGGGGATGGACACATAGGAGAACATGCCGGGGATGGACACATAGGAGAAACATGCCGGGGATGGACACATAGGAGAACATGCCGGGGATGGACACATAGGAGAACATGCCGGGGATGGACACATAGGAGAACATGCCGGGGATGGACACATAGGAGAACATGCCGGGGATGGGACACATAGGAGAACATGCCGGAGATGGACACATAGGAGAACATGCCCGGGGATGGACACATAGGAGAACATGCCGGGGATGGACACATAGGAGAACACGCCGGGGATGGACACATAGGAGAACACGCCGGGGATGGACACATAGGAGAACACATGAAACAACAAATAGGAGAACATGCCGGGGAGGGATGGACACATAGGAGAACATGCCGGGGGACAAATAGGAGAACATGCCGGGGATGGACACATAGGAGCACAATGGACACATGCCGGGGATGGACACATAGGAGAACATGCTGGGGGGTTTACTGGCTGTAGAAAAAAAATGTCAAAAGCCAAAAACAGCCGCTGTAAAAATGGCCAGTGTGCATGTTTATCTTTGTCATTTTCAACACTATAATTGCTTTGCTAGGGGCAGCACAATGGCTAAATGATTAGCACTTCTGCCTGGCAGTACTCGGGTCGTTGGTTCGTATCCCAACCACAGCACCACCTGCCTGGAGTTTGCATGTTCTCCCTGTGCCTGCGTGGGTTTCCTCCGGGTACTCCATTTTCCTCCCACACTCCAAAAGACATACTTGTAGGTTAATTGGATCCTATATAAATTGGCCCTAGTATATGAATGTGAGTTAGGGACCTTAGATTGTACGCCCCTTGAGGGTTAGGGACTGATTTGAATGTGCAACATATATGTAAAGCGCTGCGTAAATTGATGGCGGTATATAGGTACCTGAAATAAATACTCTCTATTCATTTTGCAGTTATGTTTAATTAAATGATAATAGTTGCCCCACCCTCTCACAAGGTTGCAATGTATTTTATAGAGTATTGCAGACTCTAGCAGGCAGCTATGACTAAGGCCACTTTGACTGAAACATGTTAGTCTTCCTGCAGGGATGTATTTTTAGCCTGACGTAACGAATAAACTTCATTTTTATTTGGAGACCTACCATGATGCAGACTATTACTGGGAATATGGAATATCAGCACACACTTACAATGGTCCACACTGGACCAATAGAACGATGTAAAAATATCCATACCTAGAACCTTTTTTTCAGGGTACGGGTTACATCATACACATTCAACAACAGTCTCCAAGATGCCTGCTGAAGCTTTCTGCACCTTTTTGCATTTTGTAACCATTTCCAATCTCAACAAATGTCTGTCTACATTGGCAGAAATTAAAATTGGTTCCAAATGATTAAAATGCATTCTTGTTGTTTAACCTCCCTAGCGGTCTGATTATGTCAGGATTTCTGTGCTCAAAGCGGTACATTGTTTTCAATGGAAATATGTTTTTTTCATATTGTAGGCCTGTAATTCTTAGGAATAACTCACTGAAATCTGTCAGAACAAGAGTCTAGTAAACATCCCGGGGATGATAAAATTTGAAATAATAAATTATATTATAATAAATAATCATAAAAAATAATAAATTTAATTCAATCATATAATCAAACCAAAAAACACTGAAATGTGAAATATAGCGCCAAGTTCGCACATCGCTGAGCAAAGTCGCAGAATCGTTTTCAGTGTCTGATGAGGAATTTCCCCCACGAATCATTATCACTCAATTCTGCAAGTGGTTCTGATTTACTATCGCTGTTCTCTAGCCGGTCTAAAACCGCTTTTGGCGTAAAGGGACGCTTTTTGGAGGCCATGGACGTTTCTCAGTTTCCAGGCAGAAAGAACAGTAAAAATGCAGTCAGGGGACAGGACAAAGCACTCGGGACAAAATGTATGTGAAATGGTTTGATACAGGAATGTTATACTATCAGATTTTAGTGTATTATGTGTATGTAAAATTTTGACATTTTTTTAATCTCCCGCCGGTTCGGTCCCCCATATGTCCCAACGCTCGCAGGGAACGGAATCCAGATGCCAGCATCGGCTGGAGGACATGGCCTGGGACGCAGCGGGAGGACAGCGTGGGACAAGGTAAGTGATCCAGGGATCCCAGAGCAACGCTGCAGTGTATTCCTGAGTGTAGCTCGGGGTTACCGCTTGTGGTACTGAAACTTAACCCCGAGCTACACTCGGGAATACCGCCAGGGAGGTTAAACAGAGAAGTATGGCCAAAGCCTTTTTGGCCATACTTCTCTTGTAGGTCACAGGAGTACAACTACTTTTATTTATAAATCCTGTATAATAATTTTTCTTTGACCCAGAGTCAGCTGATAGCAAGCTATTATAGCCCATTATCAGCTGATGGGAAAGAGCCAATCCAGGCTCAGGAAGCATCCTGACAATATTGTCGGGATCCACCCTGTTTCCTGACTGATTATTGGCTCCGCCTTTAAAGGATCAGTTCACCTTTTGAACATGTTACATGCCACCTATTTTTAGGGTGGAACATGTAACATGTTGCCATAGCTGCAGCCGCACACACGGCTGCGTCATTCATTTACAGACTTCTGTGAATGAATGAACTGCAAGTCCTGATAGCCTCAGCGGCTATGGGCTTGTAGTTTTCAATGAATCACCACCGTGCTGTTGAGCACAGTGGTAGTTCATTGAAGCTTCCTGTCAGGGTATTTTCTTGCTCGTACATCCCGTACGGCAAGCAGATATTCTGACAGGTCTGCAGGAGACCTGCATGGCATCAGTGATCTATCGATCGCTGGTGCAATGCTTTCAAGGGTAATGCTTTGGACAAACATAATAAATGCATTTTTTTTACTTGCAAAAAAAAAAAAACGTGCTTTTATTATTTTTGTCCAAAAGGTGAATTTATCCTTTAAGCATGCAATTGAGAGCTAGAGCCAGCTGCTCCTGCCCCCTCCCCAGCCCGGCACCGTAGTCACAGCAACAGACCAAGTACTGAGTGATCAGCGATCATGTGATCGCTCAGTTCTCGAGCTTAGAGGCTGGCGTGGGACAGCTGCAACCTCACACAGATGCTGCAGCATGGAGCCGAGTATGTAGTTTGTTTTGGATTTTTTTTTTGCAATTCTATACTTCTTTAAAAGAGAATTGTGGTATTACAAAAAATAAAAAAAAAAATATATACATATTTACCTAGGTGAGTGCAGCATCAGTCCGATGCTGCATCTGTCCCCATCACCTCTAGGAACCTGATATCTGAGCAATCAATTGCCGCTAATCGCTCATTTCTCAGTCTTCAGTGAGCAGAGAACCAATAACTATGACTCATAGCTCTCTGTTCTGTCCATTTAGCACTGTGGAGGGGGCGGAAGCAGCTGGCTCAGGCTCAGCAGCACACTGAAAAGGTGAGCCAGCTGATGGTGCAGCATCTGGGTGGATCCCGACACTAAATTCGGGATCCCTCCACAGCCTGGACTGGCCGAGGGTCAGCCGACAGAGTACTTTACCCAACTGAACTTTAGAGTTGGGTCACAGGAGTGCAGAACTGAGTGCACTCCTGTTACCCATGAGAAAAAGTAGAGCGAAAAGAGCTTTGGCCATACTTCTCCTTTAACCAGTTTGCAAACACTTCATACATATGCGGTGCAGGAAACACCAGATTCCTGTGAGTTTCCCGCTCCGCATTGCAAATGCGCTGTGTATTGCGATCTGCTGCAGGTTTCAATTCAAAGTTGACACCCCAAACTCAATTCGCCATCGCAGTGCATGTGCCTGCACCGGATCGCATGATACAAAATGGCCATGCGATCCAGTTTCAGTGCAGCTCAAAAAAAGCCTGTGCATTTTTTGTGGTATGCGTTGAGATTTGACCCCATTCAAAACGAATGGCCTCAAATCGCACTGTAGAGAATGGCATGTGACTAGCATAAGAATGCGGTGCAGTTCCTGTGCGATGCATATGCGAGCTATAGTGCGAACCAGGGCTTACCAGGGCAACCCAAAACGCAATTTGCAAATGCACTGCGTATGCCGGCACCAGATCGCATGGTACAAAATGACCATGCAATCCAGTTTCAGTGCAGTTTCATTGCAGATCAGTTTTAGTGCAGCTCAAAAAAAAGCTGCCTGTGCATTTTTTGTGGCATGCGATGAGATTTGAGCCCATTCAAAATGAATGGGCTCAAATCGCACTGCAAAGAATGCCATGTGAATAGCATAAGAATGCGGCGCAGTTCCTGTGCGATTCACATGCAAGCTGCATTTTAAACCAGAACTTACCAGGGCAACTCAATTCTGAAAACGCACTGCGTGTGCCTGCATCGGATCACATGGTACAAAATGATCATGCGATCCAGTTTCAGTGCACTTTAACCCTAGGTTCACATCTATGCGGGTGGTGCCGCTGCGGATCTGCACGAAAATCCGTGCAGGCACACCACCCGCACAGAGGAATGTGGACCCGCGGGCGGGTGCCATTAGTTCTAATGGCACGCCACCCGCACTGGAAAACCGCAACCGTACTGGGAACCGAGGTTCCTGTGCAGGCTGCGATTTCCCAAGAGGTGCAGGAACTTCTTCCCTGTGTGTCATGGGCACGGGAGTCCATTCAAATGAATGGGCTCTCGTGCCTGTGCAAAACGCGGCCTGCATAGATGTTACATGGGGGTAATTGCAGATCAGTTTCAGTGCAGCTCGAAAAAAAAAAAAGAAGAAGCTGCCTGTGCATTTTTTGTGGCATGCGGTGAGATATGAGCTCATTCAAAACGAATGGGCTCAAATCGCACTGCAGAAAATGGCATGTGAATAGCTTAAGAATGCGGCGCAGTTCCTGTGCGTTTCACATGCGAGCAGTAGTGTGAACCAGGGCTTAGGGTGGCTCTCAAATGTTCCCTGAATGCCTAGTGGCTGATTATATAGACATTTATTTATTTATTTCAGGTACTTATATATAGCGCTGCGTTTTTTCGTCATTCCTATTATATTTATTTATCTATCATATTTATTTCAGGTACTTATATAACACCATCAATTTACGCCGCGCTTTACATATATATTGTACATTCACATCAGTCCCTAACCCTCAAGGGGCGTACAATCTAAGGTCCCTAACTCACATTCATACATACACATACTAGGGACAATTTAGACAGGAGCCAATTAACCTACCAGCATGTCTTTGGAGTGCGGGAGGAAACTGGAGTACCCGGAGGAAACCCACGCAGGCACAGGGAGAACATGCAAACTCCAGGCAGGTGGTGCCGTGGCTGGGATTCGAACCAACGACCCTAGCACTGCCAGGCGGAAGGGCTAATCATTTAGCCACTGTCCTGCCCCTAGCAAAGCACTTATAGAGTCGAAAATAACAAAGATAAACATGCACACTGGCCATTTTTACAGCGGCTGTTTTTGGCTTTTGACATTTTTTTTCTACAGCCAGTAAACCCCCCAGCATGTTCTCCTACGTGTCCATCCCCGGCATGTTCTCCTACGTGTCCATCCCCGGCATGTTCTCCTACGTGTCCATCCCCGGCATGTTCTCCTACGTGTCCATCCCCGGCATGTTCTCCTATGCGTCCATCCCCGGCATGTTATCCTACGTGTCCATCCCCGGCATGTTCTCCTATGTGTCCATCCCCGGCATGTTCTCCTATGCGTCCATCCCCGGCATGTTATCCTACGTGTCCATCCCCGGCATGTTATCCTACGTGTCCATCCCCGGCATGTTATCCTACGTGTCCATCCCCGGCATGTTATCCTACGTGTCCATCCCCGGCATGTTATCCTACGTGTCCATCCCCGGCATGTTATCCTACGTGTCCATCCCCGGCATGTTATCCTACGTGTCCATCCCCGGCATGTTATCCTACGTGTCCATCCCCGGCATGTTATCCTACGTGTCCATCCCCGGCATGTTATCCTACGCGTCCATCCCCGGCATGTTATCCTACGTGTCCATCCCCGGCATGTTATCCTACGTGTCCATCCCCGGCATGTTATCCTACGTGTCCATCCCCGGCATGTTATCCTACGTGTCCATCCCCGGCATGTTATCCTACGTGTCCATCCCCGGCATGTTATCCTACGTGTCCATCCCCGGCATGTTATCCTACGTGTCCATCCCCGGCATGTTATCCTACGTGTCCATCCCCGGCATGTTATCCTACGTGTCCATCCCCGGCATGTTATCCTACGTGTCCATCCCCCGGCATGTTATCCTACGTGTCCATCCCCCGGCATGTTATCCTACGCGTCCATCCCCGGCATGTTATCCTACGTGTCCATCCCCGGCATGTTTATCCTACGTGTCCATCCCCGGCATGTTATCCTACGTGTCCATCCCCGGCATGTTATCCTACGTGTCCATCCCCGGCATGTTATCCTACGTGTCCATCCCCGGCATGTTATCCTACGTGTCCATCCCCGGCATGTTATCCTATGCGTCCATCCCCGGCATGTTATCCTACGTGTCCATCCCCGGCATGTTATCCTACGTGTCCATCCCCGGCATGTTATCCTACGTGTCCATCCCCGGCATGTTATCCTATGCGTCCATCCCCGGCATGTTATCCTACGTGTCCATCCCCGGCATGTTATCCTATGTGTCCATCCCCGGCATGTTATCCTACGTGTCCATCCCCGGCATGTTATCCTATGTGTCCATCCCCGCATGTTCTCCTATGTGTCCATCCCCCGGCATGTTATCCTGTGTGTCCATCCCCGGCATGTTATCCTATGTGTCCATCCCCGGCATGTTCTCCTATGTGTCCATCCCCGGCATGTTATCCTATGTGTCCATACACAATCTAAGCCAATTAGACTCACATTCATACGTACACATACTAGGGCCAATTTAGACAGGATCCAATTCACCTACCAGCATGTCTTTGGAGTGTGAAAGGAAACCGGAGTACCCGGAAGAAAACCTGCACAGAGAGAACATGCAAACTCCAGGCAGGTGGTGCCGTGGTTGGGATTCAAACTAACGACCCGAGTACTGCCAGGCGGAAGGGCTAACCATTTAGCCACTGTGCTGCCCACTGATAAGTTATTATATTTGTATCCTTCCTGTGTACTCAGCCATACAGTCAGGTTAACTCCAAAGCAGCCTAATTCCCCCGCCTAGCAGGCTGTGTATGTGTCCAGGTCTCTTTGGCCAAACCAGGAAAGACACAAAAAAAATTGTTGATGTTTTGGCCAAAAATTCCTCCCATCTGTAGCCAGCCTATAAAGAGCTCTCTGTGGTGCAGAGACATTACATGTGACTACTTTATTTACCTTTCCAGTAGGACACAAAGATCATTCTCTTCTTGACACCATTTATTGTACAAAGACATAATAAAAACAGATAAGGCAAACAGCGACACTTACTTGAGCTGGGTGTTTGGAGGAGATGGTGTAAAAGTCTTCCAGGACTTGATTAAATGGTGCTTTTTGTCGGACTTTGCTCGTTATCCCCATGGCTCTGGCCACAGGTGTAGCAATGGCCCTGTAAAAAAATAAAATAAATAATCCATAAAACGAATCAGAATTTGACATCTCACCAAACCGTGTTGTTTACTCTGCATGAACAGGCATGAATTAAAGCGGAACTAAACTCTCTCAATCAGCATGAACTATTTCTAATCCTTACGCTGCTAGCATTAGTAGATAGGAAGGTGGATTATATTTACTTATCTTAAACTTTTTTTTTTTTTTTTACATTTCTTCATTTGCTTCCTGATTTGTGGCCTAGGCCAAAATGCCATCAGACATCCCAGGAGTCTTCATGGGAGGAGGGGCTTTCTCAGCTAAGCACACTCTCCTGCCAGCATGCCTAGTTTAATGGCAGATGCATTCCAGGAAGTAAATGTTGCATGAATCATCTGCCCTTACTCAAAATGGCCACGGCCAAGAATGCTAGGGGGGTGTTTTTCAAAGTGATTTCTTAAAAAAAAAAAAAAAAAAAAAAAAACACAACATGGATGGATTGAGGGGGTTGCTTTGAATATTAAAAGTGAATTAAATTGTTTGTGGTGCATGAAAAGCATTTTCCATGTATTCAAATGGACCCGGTACACCAGCGCAGTCAGTTCCAGGTTTGGAGTGAAGGAAACAATGGTAGAACGCGCCGCATTATGCTCATGATGGGATCCATAGTGAATACAACCAGAAAAGACAGGTCATCTCAACACATACTGCTCTCTCTGCTTCTACTCTCTCTATTTCTATCAAAATGTCTGAAATAGTTATTTACTATTTTTCAGTGCATTCTGGGCATTTGGAAGGTCTCCTGAGGTTATCTTTCAAAAACGCTTCTAAACGCAAACGCTCATAAACGCAGTATGCAAACATGGCTAAACTGACTTTTTTAACCTACGTTTTCCAGCAGTCAGTTTCCATCTGCCAATCCCTCCACTGGCTTCCCGTTGCCCAACGTATAAAATTTAAAACAATAACGTATAAAGCCATTTATAACTCTGCCGCAAACTACATCACCAATCTTGTCTCCAAATATCACCCAAACCGTACTCTCGGCTCCTCGCACGACCTCCTACTCTCTAACTTCCTTGTTTCCTCCTCCCATACTCGTCTCCAAGACTTCTCCAGGGCGCCACCCATCCTCTGGAACTCCCTACCCCAGACTATCACCTACTCTGCCCACTTTTAGGCGATCTCTGAAAACCTATCTCTTCAGTGAAGCCTATCCTGCCCTCCGCTAATAATGGAATCTTCTACTCTTCCAACCAGTCCATCCCCCACAGTTACTACCTTTTGTACCACTAGCCCCTCCCTCTTAGATTGTAAGCTCCCAGGATCAGGGCCCTCCTATCCCTCTTGTATTGAACTGTATTGTTGCTGTATTGTCTCCCTTTATATTATAAAGCGCTGAGCAAACTGTTGGCGCCATATAAATCCTGTATAATAATAATAATAATACTGTTGTATATAAATCCTTAATAATGTTTTTTTTAAATCCTTTATAATAATACAAATAATTTTTTTTTTTATATAAATTTTTTATAATTTTTTTTTTGTTTTTTATTTTTCCATTTTTAATTTTTTTAATAATTTTAATTTTTTTTTTGTTATTTTTTTTTTATTTAATAATTTTTTTAATAATAATGTTTTATATAAATCCCGTTTTTTTTTTTATTTTTTTTATATAAATCCTGTTTTTTTTTTTTTTTTTAATAATTTTTTTTATTTTTTTTTTTTTTTTTTTTTTAATTTTAATGTATTTAAATCCTTTATTTTTTTTAATAATTTTTTTTTAATTTTTTAAATAATTTTTTTAAATTATTTTTTTTAATTTGTATATAAATCCTGTATAATTTATTTTTTTTTTATATTTTCCTGTATTTTTTTAATTTATTTTATAATTTTAATGTTGTATTTAAATCCTGTATTTTAATAATTTTTTTTTTTTAATTTTTTATAATAATTTTTTTAATTTTGTTTTTTTTTTTTTTTTTTTTAATAATTTTTTTTTTTTTTTTTTCCTTTTTTTAATAATAATTTTTTTTTTTTTTTTATAATAATATTTTTTTTTATATAAATTAATTTAATAATGTTTATTTTTCCTCTGTTTTAATAATAATAATGTTGTATTTTTTTCCTTTATAATAATAATAATCCTTCAGAAGAGTTTTCCAAACACCCCATGTACATGAGCCCTTATATCACGTTTATCTCCTGTACAATCCAGGTATTATAACCTATAATATAATCTCTGGTGAGATCAGCTGCATCACTGGCTGGAATTGGGCAGCATGTTGTCAGCCGGGTGTTTCAAAGATTTCACATTAAACAAACAGAAGGCTAAAACCGGAGGATGGATTTGCATCTTATTTTTTTTTTTTTTTTTTCCTCTTAGTGGTGCGCCGTGCTGCAATATGATGACACATGGGTGTGGGTTTTATAATGCAATTTTGCACAATATTAGCAGCAATTGTAATCTGATTTCTACATCTCTGTACTAGAAATGTCTGCAGGGACATATTCTGACAGCAGCATCCACAGGCGTCAAAATACAATGATCAGTGTCCGCAGCAAGTTGGCCTGCAGTCACTAATCGAGAAAAAAAAAATGTCAACATCCCTCAAATGGTCAACTTCTATTGAGCAGGGATGGCCTCACTCTGATTAAAATGTATCCAGTTCCTGCTGAAATGGGCTAGGGGTGCTTCACCCCCGGTTCACATCTGTGCAGGTGGTGCCGCTGCGAATCCGCATGAAAATCCGTGCAGCCGCACCACCCGCACAGAGAAATGCGCACCCTCGGGTGGGTGCCATTAGTTTTAATGGACGCCGCCTTCACTGGAAAACACAACTGTACTGGGAACCGAGGTTCCTGTGTGGGCTGTGTTTTCCAAAGAAGTGCCGGGACTTCTTCCCTGCAGGTCCTGGAGCACGGGAGTCCATTCAAATGAATGGGCTCTCATCCCCGAGCAAAATGCGGCCCGCACGGCCACATATATGTGAACCGGGGGTCAGTGTTAAATTCAATGGCCAGAATATATTATTACTCTGGCCAATTAAATAAATAAATACCCAAGTACCTGATGTGCCTATCAGTTCTACGCTAGTTTACAAGTTTCAAGCGGTTTGGTTTTCTGCAACAACTCTGCTGCCAGGTGGAAAGGAATCTATCAGTCTATCAGTGCCAGACAGTGCCGCCTATCAGTGCCAGTCAGTGCCACCTAACAGTGCCCACCAGTGCCACCTAACAGTGCCAGCCAGCACCGCCTAACAGTGCCATATATGAGTGCTACCTTTCAGTGCCCATCAGTGCCACCTACCAGTGCTTTTTTTATCAGTGCAGCCTATCAGTGCCCATCACTGCAGTCTCATTAACGCACATCAGTGAAGGAGAAAAATCACTTATTTACAACATTTTTAAAACAAAAACTAAGAAAAAAAAAAATTTTTTTTCAAAATTTTCAGTTTTTTTTGTTTAGCAAAAAATAAAAAACCCAGAGGTGATTAACCCCTTCACGCCGGCGCCTCCAGGCCCTTTGAGGGTTCCAGAAGCCGGGAGGCGGGGCGGGGTTTACGGTCATGCAACCGCAGCGACGCGCCATCACGGCGGTCACATGATCTGTGAATGCAGGGCGCGTGCTCTTGGCACACATGTCCTTTCTTAATAGAAGGCAAATGTGCGTCCGCTCGGCGTTTTTAGAGGTTATATACTACCAAAAGAAAGCTCTGTCTCAAAAAAAAATTATAAAAATTTCATATGGGTACAGTGTTTTTTTTTTAACCGCGCAATTGTCATTAAAAGTGCGATAGCGCTGAAAGCTGAAAATTGTCCTGGGCAGGAAGGGGGTATAAGTGCCCGGTAGGCAGGAAGGGGGTAGAAGTGCCCGGTGGGCAGGAAGGGGGTAGAAGTGCCCGGTAGGCAGGAAGGGGGTAGAAGTGCCCGGTAGGCGGGAAGGGGGTAGAAGTGCCCGGTAGGCGGGAAGGGGGTAGAAGTGCCCTGTAGGCGGGAAGGGGGTAGAAGTGCCCTGTAGGCAGGAAGGGGGTAGAAGTGCCCGGTAGGCAGGAAGGGGGTAGAAGTTGCCCGGTAGGCAGGAAGGGGGTAGAAGTGCCCTGTAGGCGGGAAGGGGGTAGAAGTGCCCTGTAGGCGGGAAGGGGGTAGAAGTGCCCTGTAGGCAGGAAGGGGGTAGATGTGTCCTGTAGGCAGGAAGGGGGTAGATGTGTCCTGTAGGCAGGAAGGGGGTAGAAGTGCCCTGTAGGCAGGAAGGGGGTAGAAGTGCCCTGTAGGCAGGAAGGGGGTAGAAGTGCCCTGTAGGCAGGAAGGGGGTAGAAGTGCCCGGTAGGCAGGAAGGGGGTAGAAGTGCCCTGTAGGCAGGAAGGGGGTAGAAGTGCCCTGTAGGCAGGAAGGGGGTAGAAGTGCCCTGTAGGCAGGAAGGGGGTAGAAGTGCCCTGTAGGCAGGAAGGGGGTAGAAGTGCCCTGTAGGCAGGAAGGGGGTAGAAGTGCCCTGTAGGCAGGAAGGGGGTAGAAGTGCCCTGTAGGCAGGAAGGGGGTAGAAGTGTCCTGTAGGCAGGAAGGGGGTAGAAGTGTCCTGTAGGCAGGAAGGGGGTAGAAAGTGTCCTGTAGGCAGGAAGGGGGTAGAAGTGTCCTGTAGGCAGGAAGGGGGTAGAAGTGTCCTGTAGGCAGGAAGGGGGTAGAAGTGCCCTGTAGGCAGGAAGGGGGTAGAAGTGCCCTGTAGGCAGGAAGGGGGTAGAAGTGCCCTGTAGGCAAGTGGTTAAAAATGTGAACTTTTTTTCACTTTTGTTGCACAACACTACAACAGGTGGGATAATCGTTAACTCTGGTGATAAGCAACCAGCTGCTGTGATACCACAAGTCCCGACATGCGTGGCCTGCTCCCTGGCTGACCTCATCTGCTCATTATCCGGTAAGGCATGCTAGGGATCTGCTGACTGCTCTTCACCGAAACGTAATAGAATGTCATTTTTCCAGAAAAGTATGTAGGAACACAAAAAATGTTTAATTGTTATATATTATATTACAGTTACTTTTTAGTAAGTGCATATTTGAAGTTTTATCTATATCTGTATATCTATTTTTGCTTTACATTTTCAGAGTTTATTATTATGTTTTATCTGTATTTTTATTGTTAACTGTTTTTGTACTTTTTGATTCCATTGTAGGCACGGTTTTGTTTTTCCTAAGTTCCCTGAAGAAGTGGGTCATATCCCACGAAACGCGTTGGACCTCGATTGATTATCCAGTTTTCTAATTCAATCCAAAGAAAAGATTTTGGTCTTTCACCTGTGTTTATTAACTATCTATTTCTCTAGTGTTATCAGTGAGACTTCTGCACTCCAACTTGTGATGCTTCTGCATCCCGGGCCAGAGCCTTTCCCCACTGTTATCATTTATAGATATATATTTTGTGTTTGTTGATTCATCATGTATGTGCCTATTTTGACTGTTGTCTTTCTTACCACTTGTGTGGTTTTTCTATAATACATATAATAAAACATGTGCCATTTTATAAAGCGTTCCTATGTTGTGCATTTCTATACTTTCATATGGTATGATGCCTTGAAACACCCCATTAGTTTTTCCTATGTTAGGGTCTTTGCTTTTTTATGACTCAAAAGAAGACAGGCCTTCATAGCTGTATACTCCATCTGGGTGAATGATTCAGGAAGTAACAAGGGCATTGGATGATTTATCGCAGGGCATCCAGGCAATCAGCGATTTCAGATGTAGGCCCCATGTACACGAGACACTTCTGAACGATGGAAACTGACTGCTGGAAAACGTAAGTTAAAAAATGTCTGTTTAGCCACATTTGCATAACGCGTTTATGCACGTTTGCGTTTAGAATCGTTTTTAAAGATAAGAACAGGAGAACCTCCCAAATGCCCAGAATGCACTGAAAAGTGGTACATTATTAACTATTTCAGAGAAATACAGAGAGTAGAAGAAGAGACAGCAGTATGTGTTGAGATTAGCTTAGGTGTGAGTTGCTCATTAACATTTCTTTTGTTTCCAAGGATGGGAAAGGTGTCTGGTGGAGGGAGTCATTAAGCTCACCTGGCAGGGGGTCTTCAGGAGGAATTTGAGGTGTAAATAGTCATTAACATAACTTTTGTTTCCAAGAGTAGGAGAGGTCTGAGGTGTGAATGGTCATTAACATATCTTTTGTTTCCAAGGGTGGGAGAGGTCTGAGGTGTGAATGGTCATTAACATATCTTTTGTTTCCAAGGGTGGGAGAGGTCTGAGGTGTGAATGGTCATTAACATATCTTTTGTTTCCAAGGGTGGGAGAGGTCTGAGGTGTGAATGGTCATTAACATAACTTTTGTTTCCAAGGGTGGGAGAGGTCTGAGGTTTGAATGGCCATTAACATAGCTTTTGTTTCCAAGGGTGGGAAAGGTGTCTGGTGGAGGGAGTCATTAAGGTCACCTAGCAGGGGGTCTTCATGAGGAATTTGAGGTGTAAATAGTCATTAACATATCTTTTGTTTCCAAGGGTGGGAGAGGTCTGAGGTGTGAATGGTCATTAACATATCTTTTGTTTCCAAGGGTGGGAGAGGTCTGAGGTGTGAATGGTCATTAACATATATCTTTTGTTTCCAAGGGTGGGAGAGGTCTGAGGTGTGAATGGTCATTAACATATCTTTTGTTTCCAAGGGTGGGAGAGGTCTGAGGTGTGAATGGTCATTAACATAACTTTTGTTTCCAAGGGTGGGAGAGGTCTGAGGTTTGAATGGCAATTAACATAGCTTTTGTTTCCAAGGGTGGGAAAGGAGTCTGGTGGAGGGAGTCATTAAGGTCACCTAGCAGGGGGTCTTCATGAGGAATTTGAGGTGTAAATAGTCATTAACATATCTTTTGTTTCCAAGGGTAGGAGAGGTCTGAGGTGTGAATTGTTCATTACAATGTGTGACAAGCTTGGTAGGAACATCCTGTGTTCAGTGTTTTGTCCATTTGAGTACCCTGAAAAAGCTTTGCATGCAGTTTTCATGATGAAAAAAAAAGGCTCTGGACAGCATCGGGAATTGGAAGAGTTAAAAAAAAAATTTAGAACGCAAACACTTATAAATGCGTTTACAAGTGCTTTGCATTTGAAACGCTGATGAAATCGACTGAACGCAAGTTTTCTGCGTTCAAAAAAACAACTGTAAACTCAAATGCCTGTAAACAACGATGTGTACATGGACACATAGGAAAACATTAGGGAGAGTTCAGGGGCTGCTGAAAAAAAAAAAATGCTGAACTGCTCCTATATGTGAGTTTATCAGCTGCAGTGTACATGAGCCCGTAGAAGCTCAGTAAATATTTCCCTGGTGCAGCCTGCTTTCCATACACTGCTTTGTGATACCATTGGCTCAGAAATGACTTCATCTTTCCTGGAGCTATGCGTTTTGCTTTTTTCTAGCCCAGCCTAAAGCGTGAGGCATATAAAAGCCACCCTGGGAGTGAAGGCATTTCTTTGGGACATGGCTTGGCACCAAACTCAAGCTGTTAGATTCCTCTATTCTCTTCCGCAATGGTTTCCACATACCCCTCGCCAGTGTAACATGCTACAGAAGGACTGTGGACACGATCGCAGAGATCAGCGCACCCTTTAATTTGGCCCACATTTTTTTTTCTATTTAACTGAATATATAGTTAGCAGGACACCGAGAGGCTTTATTTATAGAATAAAAAAAACTTTTAAAACCAATTTTCCATAACCCGCATCCCTATACTTTACAAAATCACTAGCTTTAGGTTTTTGGGGATCTGCAAAGACCCTCCAATCATTTATGTTAATGTCTGTTACAAATATTTTCAAGGCTGAGTAGAAATTTAAAGCGGTATTAAAACTAAAACCAAAAAATTGAATGTATTGTCTTTGTGAAAAAAAATAATAAATGCACATATTTTTACAGGGAAAAAAAAGTGCATTTATTTATTTATTTTTTTGTCAAAGGCGGCACTTACTGGAATCAGCTCCTCCTGCAGCACCTGAAAGCCAGCTTCTTCTCTTCTCCC